ATGATTTCTACTTCATTCTATTTATTCTGTTTACTTCAGTCTGTGTACATTACTCCATGTGTGGGTGCTCCAGAATTTATCATTCCCTATGGTGAACTTTTATGTGGGTTCCAATATGGAATATAACAAACAATAGTACAACGAGGTGCTTTGTACCTTGATGGAAAAGTGTAAGAATGTCTGTGAAACAGATTTCAAGTGGAGGAATTATTGGATCAAATGATACATACACTTTGTATTTTGATAGATGTAACAAATTTCCTCCCAAATAACTACCAATTTCCTTTCTCCTCAGTGGTCTGTAAAAATGTCCACTTCCCCATATGTGTAGCAGCAATGGACATTACCAAACTTCAAACTTTTATCTATTTGCTAGATGCAAACAAGTTGCCATGGCAAGGTTGAGAATGAAATCAAATGCTTTTTTAATTTACTTATTAGTATACAGTTCTTGAATCATAAAATCTGAACATCATGGTTAAGATCCAAGGGAATTTTTATTTTTAAACTTGAATTATTGATTCTAAAATTCATTCAGAGGAAAAGTGGATGAACTAATTAAAAATTTGAAAAAAAAAAAGAAAATAGTATTGGAAATAATTGTATTACAAGTATTGGAAATAATTCTCTTATTCTTATGTCCTCAATAAGCCACCTATCAATGAATAAGACAATGGTTAAATTTGGAGGGATATGGAAGATTCAGTATATAAAATAATTTAGTATGTGATAAAAGATGGCATCAACATTAATAAAGAAGCCAGTAATTTCTCATAATATTTTATTGATCATTTAAAATAAAAAATGAAAATCATAGTAAAATAGTAACATTACAGAAAAGCTAAAAAGAGAAAATGTAACTTAATCTATATATGAGTTCACACGTTGGGAAGTCTACTAACTATAAACACAAAAGAGAAATTCTAAAGTAAAAGAAATTTTAATGTATAAATTTAGACATTTGGAATGAAAAAAAAAAAAAACCTGTATACAAAGTCAACTGACACTGAAAGCTGGAAAAAATATTTGCAACACATATGAAAGTCATAAGATTAACAATATCAATACTTAAAGGGATTTCTCCATAAAGAAAACCAACATTTTCAATAGAAAAAGGAGCAAAGAGCATGAATAAGTAAAATGTAAATCCTTCCCCACTAATGGCACTCCAAGAAAAACAAACAACTAATAGAAACTGGGTGTTTCAAGGTAAGTTGACAGATAATGCTTTTTTTGTGTAAAGACACTGCTCTTTGTCTTGATGACAATGGAAAACATTTATGTTTTAAAGCATATGACATTACAAGGTAGTGTATGACAAGCCACATTTTTACAATTAAATAACTTACAAGATCTATTAAGGTAAACAACCTAAACAGTGTTATTGACAGCAGAATGTAATTATAGACACAACATTACAATAACATAGTTGAGGAACTATGTAGGTGCCTAAATTTTAGCTGGAAATAAATAATAAAAGGTACTTACATATAGAAATTGCATTCTCGATTTTGTTTTAAAGATACTGTTTCCTTGCAGAATTTGTCCTCAAATAAATAAGCAGGCTTTCTTCCCCACTGTTCAGCTTACTCATACCTGTCACCTTGGTCCTCACTGCTCCGATGGTGACAGAGCCTGAGCACACCCAAGCTCAGCAGCAGCTCTCAGAAGCAGAAGAGGCTGAGATGTCTCATGAAAGCTGGAGGAGCCTCAGGTTGGCTCAGAACCTCAAGCAGTGTGTTGTTAGAGGCATGCTGAATTTGTAGCCTTTGCTGTGCTGTGGCCCAGAGTGAACTTGGCCCTGACCCACAGCCGTGTTCTGCTGTAGGAGTCCTGTGCTGCCAATAGCTACAGTTTTTACCCTAAGAAAAAATAAGTCCACGATTTATGTAAAAAGATATGCATGGCAACATTATTAAAAACAGCAAAATATACAAAGTCATCCACAAATAGAAGGATACATAAATAAATTATGGCACCTTCATAAGGTAGATTATTATTTCAGCCATTAAAGACTCATGTTTTTAAAGGCTATTTAACCAAGTGGGAAAACACATTTATTATGTTAAGTGAATAAAGCAGGATTCAAAATGCTATTTATGATATGAGTCTATTTCACAAGAAGAAAGAAACAAGTAAATATATAGTAAGAAACTAGAGTGGAATATTCCAAAATATATATATATATATAACAGTAGTTTATAGAGTATAGAGTATAGTTTATAGCGGATGTTATGTGGAGTTACATTTTTATGCATTTTCCCCAAATTATATACTATGAGCAACTATTTTGTAAGTTCTCTCTCCCTTTCTTTCTGTTTCTTTTTACTTCACTGAAGCTCATAGAAGTTAATTGTTTTATTTCATGTGTATGTATTTATTTGTAAAGTAAAGCAGGAGTTTCATTTTTTGAAGTTAAAAAAAAAAAGCAATATTCATCTTGGGGACCATGCATTAATGGCAGCACTCTAACTGAGGGGAGAGTGTATGAATTATATCCCAGTTTTAAATGACAGGGATAGGGTTTCCACATTGTATTGCTGTCTTGTTCTTCTTGAAATATTATAGTCACAAAAGTGTGGAAATAGCTTTGAAAGGACTATGAAGCAAAAAAAAAAAGTCTGAAAAGATGTGATATAATCAAGGGAAAGGCTAACCAAGTGAAAATGGGTATTCTAACAAAATTGCTGTTGCCCATTCTTAATTTTCTCATAGATGTTTGTCATCTCTGCCTCTGGAAAGAAAAAAAAAAACGTCCCCATTGTCTCTTCTGAACCACACACACGTTTTCCACAATGCTGGTTAAAATAGAGAAGGAGTGTCAGGATGGAGTTTATGAGGAGGCTTCCACAATGCTGTTAATGTTCTGTCTCTTGGGTGGGAATATAGGAGTATATTTGCTTTGTGATAAGTCTTTAAGTTGTCTACTGTTCTGTGTAATTCTGTTTCAGGAACAGGGATTTAAAGAAAACATTTTGGGTTCTCATTTTGGCAAAGAGTTCTTAAAAATTGAAGATATCTTTGGGCGATATCACAAATGAGAAAGGTTTCAGAATGACGACTGACATTGTGCTTTCAAGCATTTTTAAAACAATTTCCATTAGGAGAATTTACCCTAAGGATAGCGCTAGAAAAACATATGAGGGAATATCTGTAACAGTATTCATAGGAGCTTTATTTGTAAAAAATGAATAAAATTAGAAACCAATGAAAGGCCTAAAGCTGGGAGTTTGTTTAAGATGTGGAGTCTGTTGTAGCTAGGTACACTGAGGCAGAGACACTTTTGTGTGAAAATTTATATGAGTAATTTACTGAGTTTAATAGCAATTTCCAGATCCTTTCCCTATACGGACACACACACATATACACACCAAGAATTTTTAAAAACACATTTTTAGAAACATCTATGTCAAAATGGTTTGAAGCACTAGTTATTAAATTTTCAGCAGAATTTATCATGCTTTCTTTATTTCTGCAGCTTTTTGTTTTTTTCTGTTTTACCTTAAGTGTTTCTAAAATAATACAGTAGATCTGACTTCATAAAACCTTAAGAAATAAACAAAAGTAACAAAGACATCTAAAAAACATTTTTGTTAATTACCCACCAGTTACTTTTGCTCTCCCTCCCCAAAAGTAACCAGGGTTTTATGTTAAAATAGCAGGAAAAGAAGGGCAAAGAAATATAAATATAGCATATTTTTGTTGCTTAATGATGCTATATGATAACATTGAAAGAGCTGAACCCTTTATTTCAAAGGGTTTCTTACAAATGGGCAGAATGATTTCTAGCTTTTCTTTCAGTGATGTTATTTTCAGTTGTAGGTTGAATGGTAGCCATGTAATTGTTAAGGAAATGGTGTATACTCCAGACTTAAAACTGGTCTTAAAATACGGGTAGTTCCAGGTTTTATGAAGTTCTAAAGTTATATAATTTTTGAGAATACCATTTCAACAAAAAGAACAAAAAATTCAATACAATGCTAGTTACTTGTTCTTGCAAGTTGCTTATGAGAATGAGGGGCCCTGGTGCTTAAATTTCCTTTACTTCACATTACATTCATCTGTTAAAATACACAGACCTTCTTTACTTATGCCCATTTACCTCTTTCGGGGGCGAATTACTATTCAAAATTGTTAAGCTATGATAACACACCTGCTTGTTACTAATATGATTTAAAGATGTCTTAAAAAAACACACTCCTTACAAAGCAAAAAAATATCTATTTAAGTCTTATTACAGAAGGTTCATTAAATATACTGTTGGTTTTATTTCCTCTTCCTATTTTGAAGAAAGTAAATAATTCAATCAACGAATATGTACTTGATTATTATTATTTATTATGTAAATAAGCCTTGCATTTAAGGTAACTACCCTCTTCTCTGTCCCTCTCCACCCAATTCCGCAATCTGGTTTCAAAATATATTCAGATTTTGCACCAGGGCTTTTTAAGCTTTGGTGCATTCAGTTTCTCTACAAATCTTGTTGAAAGGCAGGCTTTGGTTCAGTAGGTCTGGAGTGAGGTCAAGAATCCTGCGTGTTTAGCAAGCTCCCACAGATGCTTCTCTTGCTGGGATGCAGACCCCACATTGTATGTAGCAGAGCTCTACACCATCCTTGCCTGTCACACACATCCCTTCACCCGAAGGAGTGTACACCTCAGTACCATCCTCCTGTAACTTGCCGGGGATTGTTCTGGTCTAGGGGTACTAGGGCAGCTGGTGACTGTATAACCATAACTGTATTGTAAGACCTGGATTACAAGGAAGAAGAACAAGTGCTAGAGAGTAAGCACTGGTGAGCCATTGCTGAGAAAAACAGTCTCTTGATCCACTGCTCTGGGTAAATGTCAATGAGTATGTCAGGCCAGCAGATTATTTTCATTTTAGTCTGCCATCGGAGGCACAGGTGAGGTGGTAAGAGTGAGGTTCTTATGGGAATTTAAGTTTGGAAATGGAATTGTTAAAATTTGATCACATAGATGTGGGTGCTTCCATTTCAGGGTTTAGGGCATGCTGTGTACAGTGACAGCCCTTCCAGCCAATAGCCTGCCCTGCCTGTGATCTCCTCCAGCGATTATCATCAGGAGCTGACTGCGACCAAGGTCTCCTTGAGCCACGGTAAGGAGTCTTCCCAAGTGTCCCTGACACTGCACTGTGCTGTGAAGCCAACTGCAAATGCTTAGTGGGGCAGCATATGTGTGTGGGACTCTGCAGAGGATGCTTTCTAATAAACACTATTGATAACAGAGACAGGACTTATCACCAGGGTTAACTAAGAAAACCACCAGATGCCTGTTCCATCTTTTGATATTCTGCATCCTTGGAAGATTTGATTCATGTTTTCTTTAATTATGCTAAAAATATGTATCTTGATGCCTAGCTTCTTAATTATTATCACTATTACTTTAACTAAGTGTGACACTATGGTAGCTATGGACATTTCATATATGGCCTTTATTATGTTGACTTAATTTTCTTCTTTTTTGAGTTTGATAATTAAAAAAATTGTTTAATTCTTTATTTGCATCTATTGAGAAGATCATGCAAATGTTGTCTTTGTCCTATTAATATGGAATGTCATGTTGGTTTATTTATTTCTGTGTTAAAATATACTTAAATTCCAGGGATAAATCTAGCTTGGTCATGGCATGAGATCATTTTAATGTACTGTTGAATTTGATTTTCTAGCATTGAAATTTTTTGTGTTCTGAAGATTTTTTTTACATTCAGCAGAAATATTGGCTTATAGTTCTATTTTGTGTCTCCACATCTGGGTAATACTGGTCTCATCAAATGAATTTAGAAGTATTCTTTCTGAATTTAAGAAGAATAGGCTTTATTTCTTATGTAGGTGTTTGGTAGAATACACCAATGATGTCAATTGATCCTCGGCTTTATTGATTTGTTTTTGGTTACTGATTCAATCTTTGTATTCATTATAATTCAATTTTTCTATATCTTCATTACTTATTCTTGTTAGTTTGTATGTTTCTAGTGATTTGTCCATTTTTATAGGTTATTCAATTTATTCATGTATAACTTTTGATAAAAAAACTCATAATCCTTTTAATTATTATTTCTGAACCATTAATTGTAATGTCTCCTTTCATTCATGATTTTATTTGTGTATTTCTCTCTTTTCTTTAGCCTAGGTTTGTTAATTTTTCAGAAAACCAATTGTTAGCTGCATTGATTTACCCATTTTAAAAATACTTCTTTTTGAGATATAATTTGTATAACATCAAGTTCATCCTTTAAAAGTAGATAATTCAGTGATTTTACATATGTGTGTTTGTATATGGGTGTGTATGTGTGTATGTGTGTGTATAGATAGTTATATATATATCTGTGTATTTACAGGTATATAGAGAGAATTATGTAGCCTTTATCACAGTCTCATTTTAGAATATAATCTCATTTTAGAACACTTTCATTGTCCCAGAAAGGAGCCTTATATACATTAACAGTTTAAGCCATTTTAGTTACACAGATATGATGGGCTCCAGAGAATGAATTTTGACTGTGATATGTATGGGAACTTTCATTAACCAATTTTTTACTATAATTACTATAGTGAAAATTTGGAGATAGTTTAGCTAATAACAAAATTAAGATAAATATTTTATTATTAACTAGTGTAAATTTTTATGATCAGAAATATTTCTTAATAGTGATTTTTATTACTCGGGAATATTTCTTAAGAGTGGCTTTCACTATTCAGAAATACTTATTATAAAATGTAAGCATTAATATTTCTTTATAATTATGCCCTATATAAGTAATTTTGGTGCTCTTGATGAGGGAAGCAAAAGAGTGATAAATGATAGAGAATGAAAGTTATTGTATTATGTTTATGGGGCAAAGTGTTAAGTTTTGGAAGACACAAATTAAAATGTTAATAATATATATTTGAATAAGATCATGGAAGTCTTGGAGAAAAAAATGCTGAGGTGAATTTATGATAATTAATTAGTTCCCAGATATATGCTTTTTATACAAATTTCCCTGGAAGAAAAAATATTAGTTTTTAAATCTACTTTATAGGAAATTCTTGGCTGAAACTTTCAGGAGCATAAATTCTACTTTCTCTTTACTCTTTGAAAGGCACCTATAATTTTATTCCTAACCCTTTAGAAAAAAAAAATCTAATTATCCTCAATAGTTGATGATAAAAATGCCCTTTCTATCCACTTACAACTACTTGTCAGTTACAACCCAAATACCTTTTACATCTTCTTCAACATCAACAAGAGTTCTGTCACTCAAAAATGGTGCCCTCAAATTAGTGACTTACAATAATATGACTATAGTAATACAGCTGTGTTTTTATTTCTGAATTTTTAACTTTTATTACTGTTAACTGGGCCAATCACTGTGAGATCTACTTCACCCCTCCAAGTTGTAATACACACCATTCTATTCAAGATGAGCCTTCCTGAGACATAAGCCTGTTCTCTCTGACAGCTTCACAGAGGTCAGCTTCTAGAATAGCTAAAACTGTTTTCCTTTGTTTTTATTTCCTGTGGTCACCCCTCATCAAATCTCTCTACCAACAAATCACCAAGTATTTTTTAGTTATACAGTATTGGCATTTACATGTGATGATGACTTTTGACAATGACCAGATATGAATGACTAAAAATAATTCTGTAGAATTGGTGAAACAGAAAAGAAAGTGTGCACTCTGAATGCAATATCAGAATCTTGGAGAGCATCTAGGGAATCTGTTTATATGAGATCAGTGCATTAGCAGGCTGGAGAGCAGTGTGGCATTGTTGGAATCATGAAGAAGAGCAGGTACCATGCCAGGGACAAGCCCAGGCCGCTGGGCAAAACTCCCAAATGCTGAGAGGTTTACTTGTTTTGCAAACTGTACAAGTAATTGGTTGTTAAGTCACATTCTGTGGTTGCTGGCACTGTTGTGTGAAGTGGTTTTACAAAAGAGTCATTGCTAGAATGCATTTCACTGATGATTTAAGATTGAACTAGCTCTGTTAAAATAACCTAAAATAACCTAAATTACATGCTTTAACATTGTTTTTCCCAAGTGGCTAAAATCACTGGCTTAAGATATTTAAAATGTCAGAAATGTGTATTCTTAATAAGATTGGAGAGTCAGCTGTACTTTGGGGAGTATCACAGGTCTTCACCATCATCTAAGTAGACCTTTGAGACCACATGAATCGTGACTTGATTTCTCTCATTATAAATAAATCCAAAATGACTGATGCATTCTGACATCTAGACAGGGCTGAACCAGATGTGTGACTGAGTCATGTTTGCAAGTTCCTTGCTTCAAATCCTTCAATGTATATTTAGCATTTAACATTTAAACATTTAGACTGAAGGATTATTTTTCTAAGTATTGTACTTCTTGATGCCTAACAGATGGATCTGTGGATGCATGTGTGTGTGTGCATCTGGGTGAACAGGGCTGGATTAAGGAGAGGCCGCTTCCCCAGGCACCATTGCTTACTGGGGAAATATCTTCACTGGAAGAAGGAAACATGGCATTTGTTAGCTGAAGTTCCCGCATGTAACTCTTTGGCTAATGGCAAAACAAAATTTACCCAGCCCCTTCAAGAGGATGGGAGCAGAACAACAATAAATGTTGCCATTGTTGACCTGTCTCTAGTGAATATTTTTATAACAATAACGAAAAATCACTGATATTGATTACCTATTTCTGTTGAATATTTTTCACCCTGTTCAGCTAGGCTTACTACCATCCTGAGTTGGAATCACCTCAATTCATCAACTCATAGTCAGCTGAAATTCTGATACTGAGTTGTGTTTTATATAGGTTTGTTAATTGAAAATAAGTTTTAAAATTTATTTTCTTTGATTGAGATAGAATAGCTATTTAACATTTTATTAGTTTCAGGCCAGAGGTGCAGGGGTGGTGAGAGGCTTCACCAGAGAAAGAGTAGGGAGCAGAACAAGCCAACTGACAAAGTACGCTGCTGAGGGAAGAAGTGGGTGGGTCAGGAGAGGTCTGCGGCGCCATGTGGATCACCACCCTAACAGTGAACAAACTCATGCTGAAGTGGCTTTAGCTTCCTAGTGCTGTGCTTTAACCTGTTGCGCCACCAGGGAGGGCCCTGCATCTTTGTTTTAAGGACTATGAATCATCCCTATCCCTGGTTCCTCCAGGAGACAGGCAATCAGGGTGCTTCCAGGAGACAGGAAGCAAGGTGTTTAGCTTTCCAAGAAAGGGGTCTCTCCAGCAGTCAGAAGATTTACTTCTGATGCAGCTGTGAAACTCAAAGGGACAGAAAATTTTATTAGTGATGTAACACAGTCCTTTAAGTTTCCAGGAATGCAGTTGGAACCAGTTAGTGGCTGGTTAATCATGAGGGGATGTATAGTGTATAATGAGCAATTCAATGAGTTATTCCTAAAGAAGGAATACAGCTCAGTAGTCAGTTAACTTTTGCTTATGTCTAAATTTCTAAATGAGACTAGGGGAGTTTTTTTTTTGTTGTTCAAAAAGGACTTGTATTATAGGTCCCAACTTTTAGCTTTGCCGGGATACCTACCTGATTCAGTCTTAGTCTGGTAGATAATGTGTGTGTGAGGGTGGGGGGTCGGCAGAAGGAGAGAGAGAGGAGTTGCTGGGTTTGGAGCCTGGGAGTCACTCTGGGAAAAGTTTCACCAGAGTGCCCCTTTCAGTGACACTGGTGAGTTTCTCCATGAGTCAGAGACGTTAGTTATATCCAAAGGGGCAGTTTTATTATGAAAAAGGGACAGAAGAGTAAAGGGCACTTGCATAGACACAAGCGGGCCGAAGAGCTGCCCCAAAAGGGACAGGTTTGCTAAGAGAGAGGCCTGCCTGGTCGCGGACAGGCAGCGTTGGGAGAAGAGCTGCCTCTGCGGAGGTTGGTCAGAGAAGGGAAGCCCCCGCATAGTCAGTCACAGGTGGGCAGGAGGCCGCTGTCTTGATCTACAGAAGGAAAAAGTTGGTGAAAAGCACCTGCCTAGGGACAGGTGGGCAGAGGACTGCTGCCCGTGCCAGTGCAGGGACTGTGCTGATAGAGTTGTCTTCTCTCTGAGAGGGGCTTATTCCTTTGTGGAGTGTTTTGCTAGCTGCTGATTTTGGGTAACTGTAGAATTTGAAG